GGTGACTAGTATAATAGAACTATCTACTGCAACTGGTTCCACAGTGAAATCTTGTCTTGGCACTGGAGTTGTATTCAAGAATAATGACTCTGATAAGTTTTCATCTGTATGAAAATGAAACATGTCTTCATAGAAGACTACATCTCTACTGATAAAAGAACACTCTATTTTCCAAGTCCAATAGTCCGTAACCTTTCTGATGTGCAGCATATCCCAGGAAAACTAACCTTACAGCTCAAGGTACAAATTTATCATGACTTGTCAACCTAGTAGCAAAACATAGGCATCCCCTGACTTTTAAATGTATCAGTGAAGGTGGCTTACCAAGGAGTAGTTCATAGGGTGATTTATGTGTCAGAACAGAAGAAGGAATCATGTTAATAATGTATACAACATCATCAATACAGTGCCCCCAATATCTCACAGGCAAATGGCCTTGAAATCTGATTGCCCGAGCAGTTTCAAGTATATGTCTATGTCTTCTTTTCATACCTCCATTCTGTTGAGGAGTATATGGACAAGAACTTTGATGGACAATCCCATGCAGTTGAAATAGGTCTTTGCATGCACAGTTAAAAAATTCACTATCATTGTCTAATCTATACACTTTAATTTGCTTGCCAAACTGCGTCTTGTTCATAGTAATGAAGTTCTTGAGTAAGAAAATAACATCAGTTTTAAGTCTCATAAGAAAAACCCAAGTCCACCTGGTAAAATCATCAACTAATGCGAGAAAGTATTTCATTCCATTGTGAATAGCAACTTTATAAGGTCCCCACACATCCATATAAATCAAATCAAAACTATGTAAACTTCTGCTAGCGCTAGTTGGAAAAGGCACTCTAGTTTGTTGAGCTAAAGGACAAATTTCACATTTAGACAATGGATTATTATGTAAGCTACCACCACAGTCTTGTAGGCTAGGAATCCTCCTGAGGACTTGAATTGGAACATGTCCTGTTCTTTTATGCCACATCTTCATGCTTGCTTTACTAGTTACTGCAAATGCTCTATTTATTGTCTTTCCTAATGCTGCTGATAATATGTATAAACCTTACTCCTTTTTACCAATCTCCTTCACCCTCCCAAATAAGGAGTCCTGAAACACACAACATTGAGGAAAGAAAGCAACACTATACTTGAGATCCTCTGTCACTTTTGAAACCGACATGAGATTGAATTTAAAAGTTGGTGCACATAGCACATCTTTCAGTACATCACCAGTGAGCTGACATTCTCCCATATGAGAAATTGGTGCTGAATCTACTGTAGGCAATTGAACTTGCCCTGAATTTGCTACTGGAGTTTTATTTTTCAGCAAACTTTTGTCACCAGTCATATGGTTAGTAGCACCAGTATCAACTATCCATTTACACAGTTCTAAGTTTTCACATAATGCTATATTACCACAAAAACATTTACCTGCCATGTTGGCAATTGCTTCTCCTATAGAACTTTTATTCAGCAATTGCAGCAACTGATTATACTGCTCCTTAGTGAAGAATTGAGCAAGTTCAACATTGCTGCTTGGTTGATATGCAGCTGGTGGAATTGTCATTCCTTGCTGTCCAATTGTATCAACCATGACTGCATTTGCTTTCTTCTTCTGCTTGAAATCAGATGGATATCCAGCAATCTTGTAACAATTCTCCTTTAAATGCTCTGTCTTGTTACAAAATTCACACTTCATTAGTCTGTAATATTCATTTCTAGTATTACCTTTCAAATGATAAAAAATCACATTCTAAACTATAATTTCTCCTTGATCTAGATGTGGAATGGGCAGTAAACAAGGCAGTAGGGCCATTATGCCCAGCTTGCCCATAGCTACCTCCAGTAATCAACTTTCTGCTTTCATCCTGAACTACCATAGTATAAGCCTTATCGATAGATGGTAAGGTTGGCATCAATAAGATTTGGCTCCTTGCTTGCTCAAAATTGTCATTCAATCCCATCAAAAATTGCAACAGTCGCTGATATTCCAATTGATCAACATACTCTGTAGCTGATGGAGGAGGCGGCAGTATCGAGTCATATTCTGCCCAAAGATCTTTCAGCTTGGTAAAATAAGTCGACACTGACGAAATCCCCTGCGTTAAGGTGAATATTTCCTTGTGCAAGTAGTACAACCTTGATGCATTTACTTTGTCAAATCGCTCCTTGAATGCAGCCCATACCTTCTGTGCATTAGAAGAAAATAACACTCCTGTCACCAAATCCCTGCTCATATTGCTCATAAGCCATGAAGTCAGAATGGCATTACATCGATCCCAGTGACTTCCCAAATTTGAACCAAAATCTTTCTTTGATGTCGATCCGTTAACTAAACACAATTTATTCTTACCTAATAGTGCAACCTTCATCGCACGACTCCAAAGAGAATAGTTCTCCACACCTGTTAAGATGAGTCCCACCGACATAGATCTTGGACCGTCAGATGGGTGCAGGTAAAGAGGATGGTTATGATCAAGAATAACTGAGCTAGCAACTGCTCTAGTGCTTGCGTCAGCTCCATTATTACCGTTAATAGTCGAATTTTCAGGAATCGCCACTGAAAAGTGCAGAATTAGGGCTCAAAGCTTCTGAAATTGAGTAGATTCTCTCGATTTTTTTTTTCCAATTGCGCAAAAAATCCCCTAGAATCACTTGATGGTAGAGGTTGTTTCCGACGTCCGGCATACTTACCTCCAAGAAGTCTCCAACTTACTCTCTTGGTGACTCGAACTCACAACCTTTTGAAAGTGACGGATGTTTGCCAGCAGAGCAACCCATTAATTTACATCCTTTACAAAAATAATACTAAACGAATATACAGAAAGAGGAAGTCGATAATATAAAGAGTAAAATTAACATCTCTATTAATAAACTGACTATAGTAAAAAGTTAAAGGAAAAGTTTGATTGCCAACACAAAGTTGAAAGGAAAAAATAATTTTCAAGTATAAAATAAAAGTGTTAAAAAACTAAAAAATTCGAGCCTTACAACTTGTTTGGATGGTTGTTACGCATCGTTTCATAATGTATCGTATCGTACTGTATTGTATTGTACTGTATCGTTTAATAAATACAATGTTTGGATAGATTGTGTCGTTTGCCATCGTTTCATTATATCACGCACCAGTATTATGAAGAATAAACTTGCAATATTATAAAGAAAAATTATTATGCAAGGTAAAATTACTATATAAAAAGATAGGGTAAATGATAAAATAAAATAATTTAATAATAATGAAGGGCGATATTGAGAGAAAAAGACAAGGTAACGACGCGACCACACCAAATCGGTCGTTATATAAAGTGGCACATTTCGTCGTTATGTAACGACGGATTTAACGATACGATACAATAAAATTTAAGTAACAATCAAAACAAACATTGTATGTAAAGTAACAATACGATACAATACAATGCGTAGCAACCATCCAAACAAGCTGTTACGGAAAATTTCCTATAGGAAGCTCCTCCCTCTTAAATAAGTCAAATATAGGGTGAATCTAGATTAGTTGGGTTTGTGAATATGGGGCATCGAAAATTTAAAAGGGAAACATTGTATAATCACTCTCAAAATAATAGCTGGAAAAATATAAATATTTTTTGTATATTTTTTTGTATACTAGTTTTAGGACACGCGCATATATGTATATAACTTAAAAAAATTATATAAATATAGTACTCCTATTAAACTATGTATATTTGACCTGCAATTGTTAATTATTATTTTGAAAATAGTTTTAGAATTTGATATTAAGTAATATTATAATAATTATGGATTGAAATAATTTATACAAAATCTTAATGTTAATTAGAATGTGTATTTATATTTTGGTACGTAAATTAGTAAAAGTAGTGGTTGACTAAAGGGTGATGGGCATACTATTATACATACCAGAGGATCAACATATTTTTTCACCCAAAAAAAAAAAATCTATTTTTTTGCGAAAATTATAAAATGATATAGAATTAATTTCTTTTAATTTTATGGTCAGTTATTAATCTATATTTAAAAATAAAGAAAATCAAACAAGTGTTGGTCAATGTTATCGACTTTAGATACTTATTCTTTCTGGACAAGAGGGGTCGCTCTGATGGTAAGCAACCTCCACTTTCAACCAAGAGGTTGTGAGTTCGAGTCTCCTTAAGAGAGGGTAGGGGTAAGGTCTGCGTACACACTACCTCCCCAGACCCCACTAAATAAGATTATACTGGGTTGTTGTTGTTGTATACTTATTCTTTCTCTATTTTTTTTATTTTTTATTTTGACTAAGATACTAAATTATAAGAATTAAGATATTAGCTCATTGAAAATTTGGAAAATCAATTGTAATATGTAGCATATAAATTATTAATGACAATTATAATTATATCTAACATGGAATGTTGATGATATATTTATTTCTCATAATTGTATAAATTTACCAGTAATAAATTTATTCAAATATAATCTAAATGTTTAATTATATTTAAGGAAAAAGTAAAAAAAAAATACAAACCTAACATGCACGTTTGGAGAAAATTTGATTTTTTTTTATCATTTTATTCCTAACACGGACCAAATTGATATAGTAACATTATTTTTTTGTTAATTGAAAAGGTCATAAAATTTAGCAAAATATTAGGACTTCTTACTTATTCAAACAATGAATGATTTAATAAACACAATTTGACTTGATTTTGAAGTCCTCAATATTAGGAGAATAATTTAAATTATAATTTTATCCAACATAAAATAGATCTTTAAAGGANATATATATATATTTATTTATAAATTTTATACACTTTTTCGGCTACCAAATGTAAATAATTTTTGGCGCAGGTTAAAAGCGAAAAAAGCCTATAATTAAAATAGAAAAAGTGTTAAAATCTTAAATCATTGACAATACTTTAGTAATTATTTGGTATTTACAATAATTTAGTTATATTTTGACCGAAATGGAGATGTTCAAATTTTGCAATTATTTTTCTGGTAAGTGTTAGCTTGGTCGTAGCTTTAAGATATACACAGCTTAATAAAGTCAAAACCATCCTCGCACGTCTTATACACCACTTTCACTCCAATCCCAAATCACAATTCCGAGGAGAAAAAACTGAAAATTCGTCGGCCGGAGATGGGAAGGATAGCCGGAGCCGGAGCCGGAGTGAAGTGCTCGAAAGTGTTCACTTTGGTAGCGATTTTGGTATTCAGTTTCGTCGGAAACCTAACGGCGTTATCGGTGACGGTAAACGACGAGGAATGCATTTACGAATACGTGCTGAATGAAGGCGATACAATTTCGGGAAACTTCGTCGTTGTAGATCATGAAATTTTCTGGAGCTCTGACCATCCCGGCATTGATTTCACTGTATGACTTTTTTTTCCTTTCTCCAAAATATAAATCTTTTATTTTTATGCTTAGTTGTTTAATGTGTGAATTTTTTTTTTCCAGATCTTTTATTATTAGAGTGAAAGAGATAAATCCCTTTCAATATGATTTTATACAAAAAATTAAGTAATCATCTATGCTAATTGGAATTTATAATGTGAAGTAATATGTAAAATAGAGTGCACCGAAGAGTGTAGTCTAGTGGTCAATGAAGTGAGAAAGAACCATGAGGTCTCACGTGTGCAAAAAACATTAGGTGATTTCTTAACTTCACTTAGATCTTATGTGTATGATACTCTCTCTGAAGGGTAGAGGCGGAGCCAGGATTTGAAGCTTATGGATTCGGGTTCTAGTCCTTTTAAGTTATTGGGTTCTTAATTATTTATTTGTACATATTCAATAGATTATATGATTTGAACCAAAGCTACTGTGTTCGGCCAAACTTGTAGCCAAAGAGCTAGCTCCGCCCCTAATGAAGGGCCAACCTCAGCCAGGATTGACCCTCATATTTGATGTAGCATAGGACTTCTGTTTGTCTCACTCACTTAGATGCATCGCTGAAACAAATCTTTCAAGCATATGTTACTGAGCTGTGAGCTTATGAACTGATGCCTCTCTTTCATCTCAAGTGAACTTCACTTTTTTTCAGCACTATCCGTGACTTCTGACCTTTTTTTCAGAACGGTCAATGCACTGAGGACAGATATATCTCCTAAAACCTATAATGCAAAAATGATAGAAATGGTGAAAACAAATAATAAAGCTGTTGACAGACAGAGTTACAATCTTGAGAATAATCTGGTACCTGTTAGTGGTTTTCTGTGAGCAGATGTTGTGCTCTCTCTTGTTGTAGGAGCAGCAGTGGAGCTGTGGGGTAGATGTGATAACTTTAAATATGGCTAGAATATCCCCCCCCCCCCCCCCCCAGTCGCAGTGGGTCGTTTTTGATGTACCTATCCCGATCATGGAACCCGCCATTTGTAGAACATATGTGCACACCTGCAACTCTAATTTTTGCTATAGATTTCTATGTCCTTCTAAATCCATGCGTAACATGTATACTTGAATTAAAAGACTATAAAGGTAGAATTTAGTAAATACATTTCAAAATAGATATGGGTTGATTAGGCTGGAACAGCTTTCCTATATGATGCTTGCAGCCCTTGGTTCATAACAACATTTTTATCCGTCCTCAACTCGCATCCCCACTTTCTTCATAAAATATCGTCCACCTATGGACTGGTGGAGATGAACACTGAGGGTGGGTGAAATTTCCCATCGACCTTGGTGAAGATGAAATAGATGAATGTAATCGTCTTTTTGGTTCATGACAAGTCGTGGGAATTCAACACCTCTTATTGTCAAATCAGTTTCTGACTCATTGCTGTGTCTTGCCATGGCTGCTCAATGTGACATGATTCCAATGATAAAAACTAGCTAACACAACTAATTGGACTTAATAAATGAGACAAACTCACTGTTGATGTATTCTTACAAATATGCATGACCTAAATTTACTCATGAAATTAAAAATGAAGTTGGTGATATGCTAGAAATGAAAATACATAAACAGAACACGGAGAACTTTTNTTTTTTTTTTTTTTTTTTTTTTGATTCCGCTGTCTCTGCGGCTAGTTAGAGAAAAAGAACTAGCTAGCCAAAATCTTCCTTTTAGGTGAACTTTTCCACTCGTGCAGGTGACATCGCCTGCAGGAAATGTCGTGCATACCATGAAGGGAACAGCAGAGGATAAATTTGAGCTCAAAGCCCCAAGGAGTGGGATGTTCAAGTTCTGTTTTCACAATCCACATTCAACGCCAGAAACAGTCTCGTTCTACATACATGTTGGACACATTCCCAATGAACATGACCTAGCCAAAGATGGTTTGTCTTTTTTGCTATAGTATTGTTCTTTTATGGCCAGGATTAGCGGTTAAGCATGTTGTATGTTGTGTTTGTCGGCTCCTGTTTCTAGATATAATCTATACTGACCTTTTTGCAGAACATTTGGATCCCATCAATGTCAAAATTGCTGAACTAGGGGAGGCATTGGAGTCAGTTACAGCAGAGCAGAAATACTTGAGAGCACGTGATGCTCGTCATCGTCATAGTGAGTCGCCAATATTTTCCCTAATAAAAGCTTAATTGTTTTCTAATTCTGAAGATGCATAATGTTACAGGTTTTTGTTGTAGTTTTCATTGGTAGATTTGCTTTCTAATGAGATATTTCTCGACATAGGCAACTTTTTCTTTTGCGTTTAATCCAAGTAATGGCTACTTCTGAAAATGTTCACGATAACCATTGACCGGGTGTGGATGTTTATGCCAATACCTTTCTTAATGAAACATGACATACTCTTAAGACAGTAACATCTAATGGTTGTTGCAATCATTCTGGTTTCAGCAACATATTTGCTTTATTAGACTATTATGAGTTGCTCATTCTTGTATATCTAGATAGTAATAGCTTATTGACGCTGATAATTGCTGGAATAATATCAATCTGCTTCTGTTAGTATATTTTGGTTGTATTGTAACTTGGGGTTGACATATTCTGCAGCACTTGGAGATTCCTTATTTGATTCAGAAAATGAATCTCCACTCATTTACTATCTGTCCAATTGCTTTATGACTTTTTTTTTTTTCAAAATTGTTTTATGACTTGAAACAAGAAAAGAAGCTGTGGTCTAAAGTTTTTTGAGCATCATAGCAAAGTGAGTAACGTGAAGTTCTCTGATATTTGAAGAGTCGTACTTTTCTATTGCGTGGAGTTTGTAGTAATATTTTTCTTCAGACTGTTAAACGCATCTGAAGCTATTCGCGTTTCTTCTTAAGATAGATGGGAAGTGTTGTTGTAGCTTTCTGTTTGCATTTTTTTGGTCATGGTCAGAGCTTTGAGCATTATCTGCTAAAACTGTTCGACTGATGTGCATGTTTTCTGGTGCAGCTAATGAGAGCACAAGCAAGCGTGTTTTATTTTACACCGTCGCAGAGTATGTTCTACTTATATTAGCAAGTGGACTGCAAGTTCTGTACATTCGAAGCCTGTTCAGTAAATCCATCGGTTATAATCGGGTCTGATAAATTTTATGAAGCTCCGCGGCCTTTTTCCGCTCCGTCCTACAGGAACTTAAGTAGCCTTGTAAGCAGTTGCAATTGAAAGAAATGTATCATTCTGGTAAACTAATTTTGAGTTATTTCAAAAGATTCACTTCGGCATTCGTACAGATCAAGTTTCTTAATGTGATTGATGTACTTAATTGTAGTAGTAGTTTGGAGTTTGGATGAAATGTCTAACATTGGTTTATGTTCTATTTGAGTAATTAAAAGTTACTTTTTTACCGTTTATCGTATTGAATAAAAAAGGGCAGCCCAGGCACTAAGCTCCGTTGTGTGCGGGGTCCAGAGAAGGGCCGAACCATAAGGGTTTATTGTACGCAGTCTTACCCCGCATTTCTGCAAGAGACTATTTTCGCGACTTGAACCCGTGACCTCTTGATCACATGACAACAACTTTACCAGTTACGTAAGGCTTCCCTCCTCGTTTGTCCTATTGAATAGATTGAACCAAATAAGTGGAGAGTTTTCGGGTACTAAAATTGGGGGTGGGTTATTTGTTTATGAGGTTGCCATGTAGGGGTGTACATGGACCGGGTTGGTTCTATTTTTATCAAAACCAAATCAAACCAACTATATCGGTTTGGATTGTTTTGGTTTTGTCGGGTTTTTCGTTTTTTTTTGTTACATGAAAATTATTTCTATTTTACTTTGTTAAAATTATAGATAAAGCTTTGATGAGTGAATATATGCTTAGTAAATATGGAAAAATTTGACAAACATATGATCTATTAAAATATTCTAATGGGAGAATTTTTTTAGTAACATGTGATAGTTATTTTCTTAGTCATCTAACAATAATTTTTCGTTAATTTACTACTTTCAAGGTTAATACATGAGAGAGTCCCAAATATTTCTACATTTTCTAAAGAAAATTCACTATAAAATCTTAAAAATATAAATAAAATTTATATATTTATTTGTCGGTTTGGTTCGAATTTTTTATTCAATACCAAACCAAGTCAAACCAAACCTAGTCGGGGTTTTTAATCGGTTTGGTTTGGCTTTTCAATTTGGTCCAGTTTTCCGATTCGGTTTGAACACACCTATTGCCATGTATCCCGCAGTCGGCAAATTGGTGCTAACGGATACTCAAAACGGATGGTATATTTAAATTATTTTGAATAGTACAAGGGTTTATTTGTCCGTTTCTAGTATTTTAGTTATCAAAAGAGTAATACTACCTCAGTTTCCAAAGGAGAAAAATCATTTACGCCATTTAACTTTGCTTTAAAAATCAAACTCCTTTTCTCACTTTAAACAATATACATTCTCCCTTAGAGTGTGATTTTCAGGAAAAGCTAATTTTAACAATTTGTTATTTGTTTTTGGTTATTGTTAATTTGTTCTCCATTGATCACGGATATGATAAAGTTTCCTCTCTTTCTTTTCTCCGTTGTTATCTTCGAGCAAATTGATGAAAAATGTAATCACAGTATCCAAAAATAAAAAGTTAAAAGAATTTAAAATTATGTTATGACAGTTGTATACGGGCGAAACCGAGCTCGCCTATTGCATGAAAGATCGAGATTGAAACGAGATGGTTTGGAGATCGACCCCGGGTTCGTTCAAGATCATCAAGTCCGTAACTCCAGAATCGACCCCGACTCCGATTCAGCTCGAGGAAATACTATTAGACCGAATAATGGAAGACCGAAATATCCGTAACCGGTCAGATGTCACAGCGTGAATCTTTGCACGTATCGACGAGTGACCGAATAATTAGCAAAACATGACATTTTTTACCTTTTGTGGAATTGTATCTAAAGTAGGACTTCTCTCGTATATAAAGGGGGTCTGATAATTTGTAATACACATTGTAACACTCATCCAAAAGCAATACAATGTTATTTCTAGTTCTTGTTATCTTGTTATTCTGTTCTCGATTGAGGCATTTCTTGACTCGAGGGTGACCAACCTTCAAGGCTAAGACTGTTCAATTTGTGTGGTTTGCATCTATTTTCTTATCATTAATTTCAGTATTATTTTATTTTTTCAATTTGTATCAAGTTATATCACGTACCCTTAAAACCGCGTATAAATTCAATTGCTATTTGATTTTGAGGGTAAACAACAGTAATAATATGTACAAAGTAGGGGTGTACATAGGTCGGGTTGGTTCGAATTTTACAATTACCAAACCAAACCAATTATGTCGGATTACTAAATCTAAAGACCAAACCAAACCAATAAAATTCGGGTTTTTTAATTTCGGTTTTTCTCGGGTTTTCGTGTTTTTTCGGTAAAATCTTCGTAGAACAAAATACATAACTTGTGCTCAAAATATTTCTTTAATCCTAGTAAGATACAACTATATAAAGTATTTTCCAAGAAAATAATACAAAATATGAGATGTGTCATGGCATTATCCTAAAATATTCAACAATAAAGATAATGAAATTATGTAATATAAATATTGCTAATTAAAAAGCCATAATAAAAATAAACATACTTTAAAAGTACTAAGTCATGCTAAAATACGTAGACTAGTAAGGGAGTATTACTGACATGATTAAACGCTAAAGAAAAAATAAAAACAGGTTATGCATTTTTATCTAAATGCAAAACAAAAAATAGATATTCAATACATTCCCGTTCGTAGTATTGAATTGAATGTCTTTTGTAAGCATTAGTATTGATTTGATTTTGGTTTGGGCTTTTGTTAGCATTATTTAATTTACTAATATTAATGGCTATAAAAGTTATTGAAACATTAAAAAGTTCTAAGTCCATCCTTGAAATAATACCTTAAAAGATAAAATTATGAAATTTTTTAAGAAATATTTAGAAATTACATCACAATAACTATATTTATATATTAAATATATCTAAAATTTCTATATATGTAATGTCGGGTTGGTTTGGTTTCGGTTTGACTTTCTTTAGTTAAAACCAAACCAAACCAATTATGATCGAGTTTTTTTTTTTCCAACACCAAACCAAATTAAACCAACCCATAGTTGTGGTTTTTTCGTCGGTTTGACTCGAATTATCAGATTGGTACGATTTGTCGGTTTGCTTTGTACAACCCTAGTACAAAGTTATGACATTTATGTACATTTCTATGGTAAACCATAGTTTATAACTTGATAAAAATAATAATTAACCTGCTATAGTGTTATTCTAATTACATTAATGGCAAAAGAATTTTGGAATATAATAAATCCAAATAATAATGGCCATTTAAGATTTTACAACGGAAATGGAGGGTTTTGGGATTCTCGTGATATGGCACTATGGGACAAAAGGTAAATAATACTGCATATATGTATAAATTATGGCTAAAGCAAGGTAAATTTTGTATAGAAATTATTTTTGAACCCGCTTATACGACTTATACCGCTTATGTTAGTTATGGACTTCTCCGACTGAACCCGCTTACACAAAATCCTGGGTCCGCCACTGGTGAGTGATAAATACTCTTTATCTTTAACTAAATATTTCGGCTTAGAGTTATGAGTATAAAAACGTTTTAATTAGGAGCGCTTTACCTACAATATAAAATTTTCCGACACGAATTTGAAGACTTCAATACGAATACCGAACATCGAGTCAAAAATTCACATTGCTTTTGAATTGAAAAATAGTGACAACAAGTGTCTTACATAGTGAAGAAGAAAAGTTTCTTTTTCATTCCACTTGGAATTTGGCCTTAAAATGGGCATGGTTCATTCATTGGAAAGAGATAAATAGTTGTTTGTACAAGTTTGAATTCAAACTATAAAATTTACTAAAAGTAGAGGATTCCTGGAAAGTAATTTCAATATAATAATAATAATAATAATAATAATAATAATAATAATAATAATCACTTCAACAACAACAACAACCCAATATAATCCCATTTAGTGGGGTCTGGGGAGGGTAATGTGTACGCAGACCTTACCCGCTGTTTCCAAATAGAAACCCGGCATCTGGGGAGGGTAGTGTGTACGCAGACCTTACCCCTACCCTGGGGTAGGGAGGCTGTTTCCAAATAGACCCCCGGCATCTTTCCCTCCAAGAACTTCCCACCTTGCTCTTGGGGAGACTTGAACTCACAACCTCTTGGTTGGAAGTGGAGGTTGCTTACCATCAGAGCAACCCCTCTTGTTTAAATTTCAATATATTTATTTATAGGATAAGCGTTTCAATTATAAGTTGTCCGAAGCAATAAATGAAATAAAAGATTAATCCACATTAAAATTCACAATTGAAGACACAATTTGACTTTATATGACACAATTACTATTTAAAGAGTTAAAGAAGTTTTTTACCATATTTTCGCAAATATTTTTTAAAATATTTTGAATTATTAATTATTGTACCTTATAATACTTTTTATTTAGTTTTGAAGTATATACCAATTTTATTTCTAAAAACTTGAAAATTTATTTTAAAAATTAATTAATTTGACCCTCGTAATCCAAAAAAAAAATGTCTAGGTTCATCCTCCCGTATCCCACACCAAAATTGCCTTATACCCAACTCAATATTTATAGGAATCAATCCTTCCAAAAATTCCATATCTTTTTCGGATTTATTTCTGGAAATATTTTTTTTTAAGAAATTCTTTTGAAACAGTTTTTAAGTTTTTTCTACATGTTTTTTAGAGGAAAGTTGTTAAGACAATTTCTTTTTAAACAAAAAAGTGATCCCATAACAACAACTAATACTCAATCCAATATTTAATTTAATGGTGCAAAACAGTAAAAAAATCTTGGAAAAAAAATTATAACTATCCAAACTTTAAGAAAAAAATTATAATGATTCTTCGTCCTTAACTAGAGGTCTTGAGTTTGAGCTTTAGGAAATTACTGTTATTAGAGAGCGTTTTCTCCTCAATTTGAAACTTTTCGAGCGAATCTTAGTATGTGTTTAACAACAACAACAACAATCCAGTATAATCCCACTTAGTGGGGTCTGGGGAGGGTAGTGTGTATGCAGACCTTACCCCTACCCTGGGGTAGAGAGGCTGTTTCCAAATAGACTCTCGGCATCCTTCCCTCCAAGAACTTCCCACCTTGCTCTTGGGTAGACTCGAACTCACAACCTCTTGGTTGGAATCTTAGTATGTGTTTGGACATAAGAATTGTAAAATTTTAAAATAGGGTAAAAAAAAATTTCAAGTGAAAATGATATTTGAAATTTAGAGTTGTGTTTCGACATGAATATAATTTTGGGTTATTTTTGAAGTTTTGTGACTGATTTGAGTGAAAATTTTGAAAAATAGTTTTTTGGAGTTTTTCAAATTTTCGAAAATTTCCAAAATGCATCATAAGTGAAAATTGAAAATTTTATGAACAAATACTGATTTCAAAAAAACGTAAAAGAAAAATTGGGAAAAAGAATTTTTTTTTATGTCCAAACGGACTCTTAATTTAATCGAATCCCAATATCAATACAATATATAAAAATAGAAATTGTCCAAAGTCCAAACGGCTATAGAATCTGTCTTTCGACATTGCTGACATATATCAGTCAAAGGAAATCAAATATTTTATTTCCATAAAAATACCCAACTAATCTCTCCCTCCAATATTTAATCACCCTATAAATAGCACACCAACTTTTTATTAATCCCCAAATACAGAAAATAGAGAAAAAAGAAAGAAGAAAAAATTATTCTCTGCAACTCCATTAATGGCGACCATAAGCTCTCTTTTTCTCAAAACTCCAACTCCAACTCAACCTTTCCCCAAAACCCACAAACCCCATTTCTCCACACCTCTCAATCTTCCTCGCTCATCCCGCAAACTCGGGCCCGGGTCTGTGACCCGGGCCCGAATCCGTTGCGGGTTAATAGAACCCGACGGCGGGAAACTAGTAAATCTCGTCGTCGAGGAATCACAAAAAGCCCAAATAACTAAACGGGCTTTATCATTGGCCCAAATCAAGCTCTCAAAAATCGATATTCAATGGGTTCATGTGTTAAGTGAAGGTTGGGCCAGCCCATTAAAAGGATTTATGAGAGAATCTGAGTTCCTCCAAACTCTTCATTTTAATTCGACCCGACTTGAAAACGGGTCGGTTGTTAACATGTCGGTTCCAATTGTGTTAGCTATTGATGATTTTCAGAAAAATCAAATTGGTGGGTCCAGTAGAGTGACTCTTGTTGATGATAAAAATAACCCCATTGCTATTTTAAATGAGTAAGTGAATTTTTCTGTGTTATTGAAATCATTAATTTCATTTTTGGCACCATTTTATTTCTATTTCTGTACCATATTTGGTCCCCTTAGTTACCAGTAAATTATGATTTTAGTCCTTGTGATATTTGGCTAAGCATTTTTAACTTTGAATTAATTAAAATGTATTCCTGCCATCCTAATTTATGGGATGATATCCGGATTTCGAGAGTCAAACGAGTTATTCTTTTGATCGTAAAATTTTCATATGTCTTTTAATTATTTTCAAATATATAAAATTTATTTCAAAAAATTTAACTATTTTGTGTCTAAATATAGGTCAAAAGCTCTGTTTTAAAAGGCAGAATTGGGACTCGCCCGGGGCTCCCCGGGGCAGAGCACTCGTAAAACGCCCCTGGGCTTATGTGTGGGGCTTAGTTCTGTGAGACTTACGCCTCGACCGTCGGGGCTTACGTCCCAGACATGCCCAACGCCCAGCGTATTGGGCTTGCCTAATAGAACTTTATGCAATTGTGTGTAACGAACCTTGTAAATCCTCAAATTTTCTTAATAAATCATTGACTATTCAAAATTACTTTTTTCTTAATCAGTAAATTAAGAGTATTTTATGTCATAATTAAAATAAAAATTATTCCACGTTATCCACTAAGACTGCTATGATAATAAATTTTAAATAAATCTTTCATTTAAAATTATTTATTTATTAACTTTTGTTATGTCTTTATTATATAATAGTCCATAATTTTTTTTAATAATTATTTTCCCAAATATTATTTTTTCCACGTTTACGAGATACAATACTTATTAATTTAATAGTCTAGTATTAGCTAGTAACTATTTACAAATAATTAGTTATCATGGTATGGTATGGTGAATTATGTGTCACTTTATTAACTTGTCGAAACTTAAAAATAAATTATGCTAGAGAATCATATTTAAATCGTGAATTATGTTTTTATATAAATTCTCTTTCAAATAGAAATCATATTAATTAAAAGGAATATTTAAAAAATATCAAATTATAATATCAAAATTCTTTCAAGATTCAATACTCCTTAAGAGATACATATAAGATTTCGCATCGAATATATTACTTTTGTTGTTTGAGTTGCAACGACATTGCAGCTAATTTGCATATTATGATATATGTCATACTTTTCATATTATTCATAGTTAAATTATAATTTATAAATATTTTAAATAGATTTTTATTATAATTTTTTGATTTTAATGTAATTTTTATTAATATTTTTTTATTTTATACTATATTAAAATTCTTGAAATTAGTAAAATTTAAAGGTCCGTGGGACTTACGCCCTGTATCTTAGGGCTTACGCATCGCCTCGTCAGAGGTAAAACGCCTCTCCTCACGCCCACGCCTTTAAAACATTGGTCAAAAGTTAAAAGTTCTAACCTCGAAAAGCTAAAAGCGTCACATAAATTGGTCAGAGGAAGTACATTTTTGGTCCTGAAATATATGATATTTAGAGTATCTTTACAAATTTAACAGAACACAGTCTTTGGATTCTGTTTATCTACAAAATTTCCATTTTAGTTGTTCTAAAAAGAATTACAACTTTCTAAATTTGTAAATAATTTTTCTTAAATTTCATATTTACCTTTAACGAGAAGTTTTTATAACCACGCTAATATAGTGACATATTTCAAACTACAAATTTATAAAGTCTTCCTTTTTTCCTTTTTACTCTTTGTCTATTCAAACTTTTCCACCTAAAGTGAAACGAAAGGGGTAGATAATTACTTAAATGGTTTCAACTATTAATAATTTGTTAAATTTGTGAAGATTCTCAAGCAAAACGATCAAAAGTGGATATTTCATTTAATTGAAGGTTAGATGTGCTTAACTAGATATCACAAGCACCAAAATCCGAATTTGTCGATATTTCATAATTTTCCCTTTCAACATTGATGTGCATAAGGTTGGCCGTGGCATGCCCATATCAATGGCATGAGGTTGGCTATGGCAGGCCACTATGGCACGAGGTAGGCCGTGGCATGCCTATGTCAATGACACGAGGTCGGCCGTGGCAGGCCACCATGGCACGAGGTCAGTCGTGGCATGCCTATGTCAAAGGCACGAGGTCGGCTGTTCACCATCAATAATATAGTCAAATTACTTAAAGAGTATTATGCAACTGAATCTTACTTGTAAAATCTTTTATGCACTATCATGTGTGCTTACAGGGGAATATTAATTACAGTGTCTGTGAAATATTTTTCTATATATGAATTATTTTTCCTGAATCCAATATCTGTAATAGTCTTTTTAGCAGATGTAGTAACTGAAATAGCTCAATGGGAGTAACTTACTCTGTAATTTACTCAATAGATGTTTTTACATTTTGGAATATATCTAAGATTTTGATCAGATTAAAATTCCGCACTTTGTTTAGCATTGGTTTTAAATCCTGGATCCGCCTGTACTGATGTCATGTCTTTCTTACGCCTATTGTCTTTCCCTGTTAATCTGGTAATTGTAGTATCGAGATTTACAAGCATAACAAAGAAGAACGGATAGCAAGAACGTGGGGAACTACTGTGCTGGGACTTCCTTATGCGGACGAAGCTATAATTAATGCTGGAAACTGGCTAATTGGTGGCGATTTGGAAGTTATAGAACCGATCAAGTACAATGATGGTCTTGACAGGTTCCGGCTTTCACCTGCTGAACTTCGTGATGAATTTACAAGGCGTAATGCAGATGCAGTTTTCGCTTTTCAACTGAGAAATCCTGTGCATAACGGCCATGCTTTATTGATGACTGACACACGTCGACGACTTCTTGAAATGGGATATAAGAATCCTGTCCTTTTGCTTCATCCTCTTGGTGGTTACACTAAGGCAGATGATGTTCCACTTCATTGGAGAATAATGCTGCTCGGTGGGCCGGGCCTGAACCGGACCGGGCCCGCGGTCCTAACGGGCCTGG